TTATTTGTCAAACAAGGAGAAAGCAAGTCGATGATGAATTGCGTCCTCTGAACGCAGTGGCATGTAAGATCGTCGAACGGACACCCATCCTGCATCAGCGCGCCAACCTGGCATGCTCTAGCGCACTCAGGCACCTGGGCAACAAGTCCGAACGTACTTAAACAGTTATAAGACGCATTTTGATAAGCCTGTGCAGCCAACGGCGCGATGATAGCAGACTGCCAGCCAGGCTGGGAAGTCGTATTGACGAAGGTGAAGCCACACTGGCAGATCGAGGAAGCATTTGCAGCTGCAGGTAAGAAGTTGACTCCAATGACGGTAGGAGGAGTGTTCTCTGCGATACACTGCTGCAGGCAGTCGTCGAGGCTGGATGCACCGTAGATAGTCCCGACCGATCTCCGAGCGAGTGAGTTAGTAGAGGGAGCTTCTACAGCTTTCTCATGCCTGTCCCTGGCGGCCAGGCGAGCAAGGTTCGGTTGCGCGTCAGGAGTACCGTCAGCGTTGTTGTCGTATACAAAGTAAGTATCGCAAGCCGCCACATATCCGAACGCTGTAGGCGCAGCTCCATTATTGCCACAGTTCACGCCGATAAGGTTCGCGGTGGGCGTGCCCGGTGATCCGCAAGTCGTCGAAGAAGGTACAAGAGGCACTGAAGAGCTTGTCGTGTGAGGGGAGCAAACAGAAGCTATTGCCGCAGCAGTCTTGCTTGACTCTGCGCTCGCGTCGACGCTTGTTCCCCAGTTATGGTTCCAGTCGGATCCCCATGAGCCCCAACCATCCCCATTAGACCAAGCTGGAGCAGGTGTCTCGCTCGACACAAGGCTTGGAGGCTTGGCAGCGCTCGATATCAGACTCAGAGGCCGGGTCATCGATGTCGCGGTCGTGCATTGCTGTAGATTGCTCGGACAGCGCGTGACCGTCGGGGTAACCGTCACCACCCGCCTACAAGATCCTACATCTTGTCAATTTAAACGCGCTCCATCTCACGTTGGTACACCAACTCCTAGAAACCAAAGGGTGCGCTCACCATGACTCTGCCCTTCCACAACCGCCGCAACCAACAGAGCAAGGACCGCACACGGTAACATCATCGCGCTTCTCAATCAACTACCTGAAACAAACGGACGATCGTCAGGTAGTTCCCAACCTAGGCAACGAGAGACCTGTATCCGTTGGAAAGACTTGGCCAGCCCCCAGGAGACATATAAGACGCGCGATGCGCGTTTTTCTTCATTCCTTATGCCGCCAAGCTCGTGGCAATGGACAATCGCGGTCAAAACAAATGCGACATTCTTAGCAACGCTAGCTCATCTCATCGGACACACTGAATGCTCAAAGGGGAAGTATAAGCGGAGTAGAAGTTGGCAAGGAATGGATGTGCTACTCTTAGGACGGGCCTCGTCCCTTCGATTGAGATGGTGGCCGGACATTGCACATTGGCTAGAGTGGAGTGACTTACGGGCGCAGTGACTGATATTAAGAAAAGATAGACTAACTGCATGTTGAGAGTAAGGATATCGTGATAGAAACTTACTGTCATGGATCGATGAGGTAGCAATCGCCTTCTCAGACGTCGCGCTGGCCGCAAGAAGGGTGGGGGCACGACAGCATCGAGCGACAAGTACGGACGTCTTGAATCGACACATATCAGTCTCCTCTGTCAACAGGCTACTCGTCGTCCTCGCGCGAGGGACAATGGTGTTTGTGCGCGCGGAAAGTGAGGATGACCTTGGTATATAGCTGGAATTACGGGCGAACATCGGCGTTATATAATTATCACGTGCTAAAGGTCACCACTAAGGTTTCAGGAATATCAACTTTAGCGTCACAGCTTAGATACAAAAGCTGTATGGATGTGCAACAGATAAGACATCATAAATGTTTTACTTGCGACTGGCCGCAAAGCGCGCACAGAACTATTCATCTATAGCTTCCATGAATGCTGATACGCTGCAGCACACCTTTGCTCAATCCGCCGCCAACTCCACCCCATCCTAATGATCACACTCCTTCCTCATCGTGCATGTCACAACCTCAACAGACTGACAATCCTTCGCAAACCCCCACCAAACCAGCAGACCACTACCCACTACCCACTCCACAAAAGTCATTCCTTCCATCCATCTCCTACAGAAGAACGGCCGTCTCGATGGCGGTAGCCACCCCTATAATCCCTTCTCAGCAAGTCGGGCATATATGCGACGCGAAAGCCGCACACTGACAAAGTCCACAAGAAGGCGCGAAACTCCGACGCCCACGGCATACCACGGCGCCTCAGAGGGTGCTGTATATCGAGCTGAATGCAGCACGACGGATGAGCCAGGCTCGCTTCGATCCTGCTGCGTGCCACGGACCACGCGCAACGTAGATGACAGAGATTCGGTCGAATTGCACCAAGCGATATCACGCGTTGTGATTGAGGATAGCGCGGGTGGCAGTGCTGAAGAAGGCGATCGCATGAACGGACGAAGGACAGAGCGTGAACAGGACGATGCCGGTGCCGATGAAAGTCGCAAAGGATGCTGCGGTGTGGAGACGAATGTGCCGCCTGTTTTGAGGGGCCATGAGGCGATAGTCCCGCCACTGGCTTTCAGGATGTAGGTGAACCTGCTGAGTATTGGTAACACTGATAAGCTGCTGGGAGCGATGGTAAATTGATGCAGCGGCGCCATTGTGGCTACCCGGTGCTTAGCCTGGAGTGAAAGCCAAGTTCGTAGTTGGAAACTTGGAGTCTCTGGTGCAGAAGTTAGTGGTGCGCAGAAGGACGTGAAGGTGACCGGCCCATTGTCACACCCGGCAATGTAGTGACTAGTATCTTGAAGATCATGGTCTAAACAATCACCACTTCATCCAGGAACTGTTGACGATAGCTGTGAAAGTAGCGAGGAATCTCAATCAGAACCCAGAGATCGAAGCCAGAAGCTGCGTTGTCGTGACATGGAATCACTTGTTGATAGTTCCATGGTTGGAATCGGCGCTACCTTGCCGCGAGGTGGCGAACCGGATCATTCAAACTGATTTCGTCAGCCTGCGTGTCCTCAAGCTTGAAGGATATGTCAACAACATAGCAAGGAAGTTCACTCTGATTAGTAACAGCGAGCCTGGAGTTTCCGTTCTTCCAAGATATCCGAGAATGTCGACGTTAGCTCCCGTGATCAACGCACTTGAATTTCTGCCTCAGCTCATACAGCCGAAGCCAGATATGATCTCGACGTCGCCAACATAGCTGGTAAAGCTCGCTTCAAAGAGCGGCACACATAGGCAGAATGTAATGCTGGTCAATAGTAGGACTACAATGAGTGCTAGACTGTGTTCGAAGTCGTGCTTGAGTCGTTCCGCGGGTGCCGAGGAAAGGCTGATAAGTGACTCGGGAGCAGGAAAGGGACTGTAGTACTCGTTTTGGCGACCATGGATGTTTTGCCGACCGGAAGCAGTTCATAGCTATAGCCGTTCCTACTTGTCGTATCATGGACTCGAGTCAGACGGAGAGAAGAAAGAGCCTTGGTGACAAAGCCTTGGTGACACAGAAGGTGTCAGGCAGTCGTCAGAGATAAGTGTGTGGAAAGTGATACTCGAATGCAGATGGTATTGGAAAGATTCTTGACCATGGCAATTGTTCAAGCAGCAATTTCTTATCCTGATAAGTTGTTCATAGTCTTCACATGCGAGGCACCTACCGCCATCGACGACATCGAACGATTGCTGGGCGTGGTTGTTAAGTCGTTAGAATGCGCTGGGATGAAATGAGCTAGTATTGCGAGCGGAAGTAAACAGAAGAGGACTCTTGAGGGTGTTCTGCCTTTGTAGCGAGCCTCCCGAATGTAACTAACGCGGAAGAAGTGGTATGCTGATACGAGTGACTGCCCCCAAAGAATGTTAGTGAGCCGCTAAGTAACGCAAACAAACTCGAGGAGTAAGTCGATCCCTATCCACCTGCAGACGGGCGTATATCTCTTCATACGAGCCGTGTCCTTCCCGGCTCTTGTAGCACTTTTCAGCCCACGGGACATGGACACCTGCTGTGGTCGCGCTCTTGCACCATAGGCAACCTTGCGGCATATTTGAACAAGGCTCCCAATAGCTGACCAGGGGTCGAAGATCAATCATCAGAGATCAATACATCGTATCCTACCTAAGCATCTTGCCATATCCTTGACGCAATTTTTGTGATAGTCTGAATTGTAGCCCACTAGGGGTGAGCGCGTCCGGGCAGCTTCACACCACCATGAGGCTTCCGAAAGGGGCGATAGGATTCTCGCAGTCGCAGCTTCCTATTACGATCGCATCTCTGATACAACGTTCAGTCCAGTCCAGTCCAGGCCCAGAGGTAGGCTTCAAACGTAATTTTCACTACGTTTTAGGTGGACATCAAGCCAAGTGTCCGAGTGCTGCAATGAGGCCAAGGGGAGCAAGCACGCAGGAGCTTTGAAGTGCGGATGGCTCCGTCGATCCTCGCCATTCTGAAGCGATCTCGGTCACGTTTGGAAGCTCTCGATCTGCTTAATAATACGCGACCTTGTTCGGTTACTCCGGCCAAAACTTGATATAGACAATCTGAATCACTTACACGGATTTTAGCCCATCTTAGAGCGTCTTGAGTGCGTACTTTTCAACGCTCTAGGCGCCTGGGATGGTGTTCCTCTAGTGTATTAAGTTTTCCTCGAGTTATTCATAGTAGCATTCGTAAGATATACGGGTATCAAAATAATATCAAGTTGTTTTACCACTTTAGGCATCGGCGAACAAGTAGCTACGCGATTGTATAATAATTATACTCTACTTCTCTCTTGAAAGCCGTCTCTAGTTCTACTATCGTAGCTTTAAACTCACGCTAGTCCCTCTATTAAGTCTAGTATCACCTCACACCTAAATATACTTTAATTACTCGCTTTTACTCGGTCGCTCTTTCCCTTCCTAATCCGTCAGGTTTAGTGCGTCTTTTATATACGATTATTCGGTCAAATTCGCCCGTCAATTCCAGCTCGACGAAAAACATCACTGGCCTCGTGGCCCAATGGCAAGGCGTCTGACTACGACGAAAATTTGTTGTCTACGATATCAAATCATTCGAAATAATCAGGAGATTCCAGGTTCGACCCCTGGCGTGGTCATCACTTTTTGCTCTGCTTGCGTCTGTTATGCTGTGGGTTGTGGTGGCGCATTTTCTTTTTTTTGGTGGTTGGGTGCGAGCCGGAGTATGAAAGTTGTGCATTGGTCTGTGCGCGGGTAGTCCCTCTGATGGGGGTGCGGTAAGCTAGATGTGCCAGGTATATATATGTGGTCCAATGAGGGAAGAGTAGTTGCGCACAAACAGGAACGATTAACATTTACAACTGTGGTGGAAGTGGGGGAAACAGGTTGAATGATGGAGGAGAGTTTGTGGGAATGATAGGTTTTATAATCTTTTGCTATGTATTGAGCATGGAAGACGCCACAGTTCCTTGCTTCAAGAGGCTGTCCATATATCTGACGAACAGGCGAGACCAACACCGCCTAACGTTCACATGCCCTCCGTACGCTCTTCCTTTAGCTCCTGAACGAGCTCCCTTAGGCTCGCGATCTTGCCCTCCAGATGCTGCATCTGGCTCTGCAGAATGGAGCTCCTGATACGTTCTTGCTGCAGCTGAATGTTAAGATCTTTGAGGGTTGTTTCCACGCGATGTTTGTGGAAAGAGACTTCTCTAGTCACGGCTTCCTGGATGTCAAGGGCCAGGTTGTAGGAGACGACTTGGGCTTCGAGTGTATTAATCATTTGTTGGGCCGAAGTTGCAGCCGGGCTGTCGGTCGACTCCGTTATACCGTCCTTAGATATGTACAATCGGTCAGCCAACAAGCAGATCCGCGGATAAAACGGAGACAAACCTCGTAGTCCCCTTCGTCTGCCGACTTTTCCATAACATACTCAAAAGTCTACAATTTGTTAGCCAATGAACATATATGAGGGTCGGATTAAACACAAACGTCAATTTTCTGCTCATACAAGGTAGACGGAACCATCACGCCGCCAATGGACTCTGAACCCTCAACGCCTTATACCGTGTCAACGCGAATGGAAGGATGTACCGAAACGATACATTTCACCTTCTTCGAAGCGCGCCTCATCTTCACGTGATGGTGGTAGTGGTGGTGGA